CCGGCATCGACATCGACGAGTTCAACGCGCAGCTGTACTTCGCGGACAACGCGACGGACGGCGGGGTCTACTCGGTGAGCGAGCACGGGTCGGGCGCGACGCCGACGAAGGCCATCAGCCTGCCGCACGCGTGGGGCGTGGCCTTCGACCTCCACCTCGACGGCGGCACGCTCTTCGTGTCGACGCTGGACGGGACCATCTACAGCGTCGCGACGTCGGACCTCCCGCTCGACGACGACACGTCGGCGCTGACGGCGATCAAGACGGGCATCGACGGCCTCAAGGGCCTCTCGGTCGACGTGTCGACGCACGAGGTCTACTACGCCGCGGCCGACGGCGTCTACTCGATGACGTCCGAGGGCGAGGACGCGACGATGGTCTACGATACGAGCTCCGCGGCCCTGGACGTGGCCATCGACCAGAGCCGCGACCTCCTCTTCTACGCGGACGAGAACGGGCTCTGGGAGGGCTCGCTGTCGTCGGACGACTCGGCGCTGGAGCTCGCGGAGCTCGACAACATGCACTTCGTCTACGTGACGGCGGTGCTCCCGCCGACGCCCGCGCCGACGCCCGTCCCGACGTTCCTCCCGTCGCCCAAGCCGAGCTCGACGCCCACGGCCGAGCCGACGTTCCTGCCGACGATCGTGCCGACGTCCAGCCCGACGTACGAGCCCACGGGCGTGCCGACGCCCAAGCCGACGGACGTGCCCTACCCGCTGCCGACGACGTACCCGACGCCGAACCCGACGCCGATCCCGTCTCCCGTGCCGACGTCGACGCCGACGTCGGCGCCCTCGTACGCGCCGACGCCCCGGCCGACGGCCGTGCCCACGCCGGTGCCGATCCCGCTCCCGACGTCGGTCCCGTCGCTGGCGCCGACGGGGGTCCCGACGGGGACCCCGACGGGCATGCCGCTCGAGGAGGCGGCCAACGAGTGGTGCGTCGACGAGGCCTCGGACTACAACTGCTTTTCGTACGCCGGCGGCAACCTCTGCGGCGAGGCCGGCGAGTGCGGCAACATCACGGCCTGGGACATCCCGAGCCCCGCGCCGTCGACGCACACGACGCACCCGCCCACGACGGAGCACTGGAAATCGCCGACCTACGGGCCGACGCCCAAGCCGTCGGGCGAGCCGTCGCCCGCGCCGACGCCCAAGCCGACGCCGTTCCCGTCGGCCGCGGCGACGAACCCGCCGACGGTCACCGGCAAGGGCGCGCCGACGCACAGCCTGTACACGGACGCGCCGACGTTCATGCCGCTCCCCGCGGAGCAGCCCGACCCGCACCCGAACATGACGCACCACCAGAACAGGACGTCGTACCCGACGTTCGCGCCGACGAAGTTCGCCCCGACGGACGGCCCGGTCCCGGCGCCGACCTCGCCGGCCCCGACGCCCGCGCCGACGCCGACGCCGATCCCGGCCCCGACGACGTCGCCGACGCCGGCGCCGACGCCCCTCCCGGGCGACCCGTCGGCCGCGCCCGTGTTCGCGCCGACGCCGCGGCCGACGCCCGAGCCGACGCCGCGCCCGTCGCCCGCGCCGACGGCGTCGCCCATCCCGCCGACGGCGTCGCCCGTCCCGCCGACGGCATCGCCCATCACGCCGACGGCATCGCCCATCACGCCGACGGCGGCGCCCCTCAACCCGACGCGGGCCATCACCCCCGCGCCCACGGTCGGCGCTCACGCGCCGACGCACCCGCTCCACACGGGCGCGCCGACGCTCATGCCGCTCAGCCCCGAGGCTCCGCCGCCGCATCCCAACACGACGCACCACCAAACCCGGACGTCGTACCCGACATTCAACCCGACGGAGTCGGGCTGAGCGCCCGCGGGGCGGCGCCCCCACCCCCTTCCCCCAGCCCGATCGCACCGAGACCGCGCGCGCGCCTCGGCCTTTTTTCTCCCGAGAACACCTCCCTGCGTCGGTGCCGGTACGTGCTGGGGGGTTGACGCCCGGCCGGCTTCGGGAATCCCCTGGAGGAGGAGGTGCCGGACTCCGGGCCCACGCTATCTCTCGCGATGAAAAGAACGCAACCTCAGCTTATCTCGACGACCTCGTCTTCTAGCAGGACCTCGGTGCCGCGGACGAGGCGGCACACGGGCTCGTGCGCCTCGCGGCCCCGCTTCGCGCACGCGTCCGAGCAGAAGCACGCGCAGTGGCACGACGGGCAGGACGCGGCCCCCGGTTTGTGGCAGACGAAGCAGACCTTTTTGACAAGCATGGAGATGCCGACGAATTGGCGCTTGCACTGAAACGCCAACTCGCACAGCGTGTTGCGCTCGACCTGGTCGTTTTTGAGGCACACCAGAGAATACAAGTTGTCGCCCATCCTCCTGGGAATCGCGGCGACGACGCGGATCCCGGCGCCGTGGTAGCGAATGAGCTGCGCGTAGTACTCTGCCGCGTTGAACGCGTCAAAGGCGTGATCTTTGAAGTGGAAGTAGAGCGCCATCATGTCCGGGTCTCTCGATCCGTTGAACTCGCGCAAGACCGCGTTGTCCCGGGTGACGGTTCGCGGCTCTTCGTCGCTGGACGCGCGCGCCTTCTTTGGCGCCGGCGCTTCAGCGACCGTCTCGAGAACCTCGAGGTTCGCGCGCTTCACGGCGAGCGCGCCGCCGAGGTCGAGCTGACACCGATGC